ACAGAATTCTTTTCTGTATCTTTTCCAATCTTCCCTCGCGGTTGTTTTACAACCAGAAGATTTTTCCTCCTCACCATAAACTAACGAAGGATCTGGTATGTCAAATCTTTCGATCAACAAAGTCAATAGTTCCTGAGGTGAGCAAAAACTCCTACAAAGAAAGGAAATAAAAATTTATATGTCACAATTAAATTTTAATTAATAGACAAGTTTCAACTGTGTACGTTCACGCACCTATAAGTAGTAAGGAATGTTCGTACAAAAGCTGGGTCAGCATATATATGATAAGTTAATCTTTCTACCAATTTAACCAAAGTTGCGCCCTTAATTAATGGAACACCACCATTTTCTCTGGCTTCCAAAACAATATTTTCTGGGCTATCCTGTTCGGCAAATTTATATAAATGTGGTGGAGGTAACCTTAAGGGATGCTTTCTTTCTTCGTCCAAAAGGATACTGTCCAAAGTTCTTTCTAACATACTCTTTGTATTCAACATTACTAGATCCGCCATCCAACTGTTTTTATCTTCGACGGATTTGGCAACAAGAATAACATTAGGGTGGTCCCTTGGTGCAATTTCAAAGGCATTTTTTAATTCTGGAAAAAAATTATTTTCCTTTAATAAGATAATTTAAATGTTTAATTTTAAGATTATAGTTTCTTTGAAATTTACCCTCAGTATCCTCCTTATCGATAATATCAACTTTCCTAATAAAAAATCTTTCCTTTAAACGCAGCTCGCCCTGGTGAGGTGGATGACCCACAACACCAGCCGCTGCAGCGGTAACGCTAACTCTTTTGCCACCACTCGGTTTACAAAGAACCAATAAACCATCGAAAAGGAGAGCTCTTCGTTCTGTTAGCCTCCTTCCATTACTTACTTTTCCCAGCATATCCTCTACACATAATAGAATATAATAATGAAATTATACTTTTACATAACATTAATCGAAAAATAATTAAGAAATGATATTTATTTTTCGTACCACGTATAAATTCATTACAACATTGTCCAACATCCCTTTGATCCCAACCATCAACAGTTTTTTGTAATTCACTAGTTTTTTCTAGCGCTGCTTGCCGCCTCGCTCTACTCTGCATTCGCAGGCCTGTATCTTTTTTTGGAAGACTCGCCATAGATTGTAATAATTCCATCTGCAGTGGTCTTAAAAGACCTTGTACTTGTTCCAAAGTTTCACCATCTTCTATATTTGGTGTACGTTTCTGCAATACCTAGGCAAAATATTATTCAGTCATCAGAATGGTATATGCCCTATTATCAGAATAATGAACAGATATAAAATTACTTAAAACATACCTTTATATAGTCAAAGTACAAAAAACAATGCCATATTGGTTGTAACAAAAGTTTTGGCAAATAATATTTGACAGCTTCTTTAAAACCATGCCCTGCTGCTCTTAATGCAGCATTAGCTTCAGGCCTTGACAATAAATTTGTTAAAACTTCTCGACTAGCTGAACTATTAATGTCTTTTGCATACCTAGTATTAGAATTTCAATAATTTATAATTTCGATAATTATCATACAATTATTTAATAATTTTCCACTTACCTTGTATAAACATCAAATTCTGCTGCTTCTGCAAGTTCTTCAAAACATGAGCCAACTGTAGGCGTTTGCTTTTCTTCTGTAATTTCCATTATATCTTCTAAACTACCAAGTAGTGTTACAGTAACTTCATAAATATCCATAATATTACTGAAAAGTGTTTCAATTTCAGTTCTATCTTGTGCTAACTTCGCAATTTCTTCCCGAAATACCTATTTGAAAAACGAGATAACTTTAGTCTCTTTAAATTAATAGTACATTACATCAATTAATAAATTATTTTACCTTAATGATCATATGGAGATCACGTAAATAATGTCGTTCATCGTGTATGAGATCCCGAACAGACTCTTCATAAGTTTGAGAAACCACTGCACCTAAACCACTTTGTGGGCCCTCTGCATAATCATCTTGATAAAACAAGTCCATTAATACCTATTAATAAGTTACTAATTAGTTATTTAGCGTTTATTCCGTAATTATTGGTACATGTACTACAAGAATATAGTACAAATATTGTGCATTTTGAAAACAACATTACCATATCTGCATACATCGCGACCCTTATATCTTCACAAGATATCTCCACATGGCGTATGTTCTTGACATAGTTTCCAGCTAGCTGAAAAGAAAATAGTCTTAAACATTTTGAGGAATTAGTTTTGATGAATAATACACAAGAAAGTAGTTAATAAAATAAAATGTTGATGATAATAATATCGAAAATAAACAATAGTAAATTTTACCAACCTTCAAAATATCTGCAGAAATATATTCCAAGACTCCTACCACAAAAAGACTAACTTGTGAATCAATTTTCTGTTGTAATACTTCCTGTTAATTTCAAAATATGTGATTATTATATTTATCAATAAGTAGATAGTAATACAAATTAAATCAAATGAGTTTATTATTATTACTTTTTGCAATAGTTGATGAATTTTGTCAACTGGAAGAACTAGTGGTGATTTCTTTTTTCCTTTTTCTAAGGCATCTCTTGCATCTCTAAGTGCCCATCTGTCGATGGGAGTAGGAAATGTACGCCTTACTCTTTCTTCTACATCTTGAGGTGTATGTGGAGGAGGATGACCACAAAGCATTCCCAAAAGCCTTAAGATTAAACTCTCAACATAGTCTAAGGCATCTTGACGTGCTTCAAGACTAGGATGTACTTGCTCCAATACCTATTTCACATTAATTATTCATTAAAAAATAATGGGTAATACTAAGAAAACAACATATCATGGAATATAGATATGTTATTTATTAATTAGAATTGTTCATTTGACAATTGTCATGCAAAGTACATTTTATTATAATACATATAAATTAGAATCAATTAAAAAATTTTATCATCAGGTAATTAAATTATTAGAGAATTTTATTTCATTTTTCAATTATATGTGTAATATACTTAATTAATTACATTCCTCTTTACATAGAAACTGTTACAATGTTTAAGCAAGTACATATTTCAGAAAACATAAAGTAATTAAAGAAAAGAGCGATGAAAGTACAAGTACAAAATACTTTATTGTCAATTAATAATTCAACTAGAAAATCTTTTACTTAAAAAAAAACATACTACAAGTACTGTTTTTTATTTGTTTACATAATAGAGTAAAATGATCAAATGTATCACAAGACAGTGTATTCCTTTATTCAATTACAAATACAAAGTGTTTTGTGCCATTAAAGGAACAACATGCAGTGTATAGTATTTAAAACATTTATTTCATATCGATTTCAATGTATAATGAGACGTAACAATAAAAAAAATACTCCGAGATCGAACGTTATGTATTAAGCAGCTGAGACACAACAAACTTGGTGGAACCTGAAAGAGCATTAAATGTTGGCACGCATATCGCGCGACAATGACAATAGAACGAATAGACGAGAGACGATCGACGATATCAAAGCAGAGTGAAATGGGGCTTGTACAAATTCGGGAGAAGGAGATTCGAAGAAGAGAGAATACCTTGCGTAGGGAGTTGACAAACACTCCCTTCCACTTGGCGGCGTTCTCCTCTTTCTGAAAGTCGTAGCCTGACGGCTCGCCCACCACTGACGCCGGCGACGAAAACATCTCCACGTACTGGTACAGGCTATCACGCACCCGACAGAATAACGCGCACTAGCTAGAGAACACGCTCCGGAGAGTTCCCGAATTTTACAAACAGCATTTCGACGGGAATCACAAAAACTTGACAGAGACGTCTGTCTGTCCGTCAGTCCGTTTTTCAGGGCGCAGACATCTCTGTGGGTAATGCGACAGCTAAGCCACTCGGTGATAGTCCCCTGGGATCCGGACGCTTCTTCCGCTTATTACTATTCGCAGCATCTCCGAGGCCAACCCGAGAGTCCCCGAGTTATGCCGTTTGTGCATTTTACACGCCCTTTTACTCGAATTTTTGTCAGAACCTAGTGCGAGCACCACTACTATCAAAGGATACCATTGCGCGACTCGCATCGATCGATAAATGCGATAGTACCGTCCTGACGAGATTCTGCGAGTTCGAGATATCTCGAGGCTGGCCGATCGATACCAGTTCAAGAAGTTTTTAAAATTCGTTTGAGAATTACTCGTGAAGAGTAACAGGTTCGGTTCGTGTAATATTTCGTTCGAATAAACTTGTGTACTTGTTGTGAGTTTCAATTGTTCGAAAGGAAAAGGTTTCCGAAGCTCGAAATCACTGAAATTTCAAATCATAGGTCAGTATAAGAAAGTGAAGCTTATACGTAGTGGATGTGACTACTTTGGTAGTTCGAGTTTAAAGAATAAAAATTTCAGAGAAGCAGTAATGTAAATTTTATGTATCACAGAGTATTGTGTCTTTTGAATTTTGTACATAACAATAACAGTGTTACATAATTTACAATACATGAAATATTTAGTAGTTTGATCATTACATGTTATACGCACTTTAGGTAACTGTCACTAGATGGCAGCAATGCGATCATTAACGGTCGTTTCATTATTTGAAATTACGAAATGTGCGTCACTAAGTGTTTTACGTCGTGTAATTGTAGTTTACTCAAAAAAAGGAGAAGGGGAAATAAAATTGGTAATTACAGTATTAATTAACACACCTTATTTTAGTAATTTTTTTTACTTTCTCGTTAGTATGTACGTTCTTTTTTTAAATCGTGAAAAGGAATAAGTGAACAAGGTGAAAATTGGTTATATTATACAAATTTATTCTCAAAGTACAAAAAGAATACTATGAAATATCTTACAGAAGTGCTTGTAACAATGTGTCATTACAATGAATAAATAAGTTAAATAGCTGGAATTTATATAATTCCAATAGAGTGCACAGGAGGTGGTGGTTTCTAATGAGACGCCTAATTCGTGTGATTCGTCGATAGTACCCAGTGACGAATCGTTGCATAAAATTTCTTTATTTGCCAGGGTCATCCTTTTTTACGATTCAGTGTACCACCGTGTATAAGTGAGTTTACGCCAATGTTCTCTTCATTGTTCTGAAGTTTCAACTGCAAACAGAAAGAAATACATCGTTTAACGACAATTGTCAATAATATTCGTGACGAAAAAAAAAAATTCAAAATTTCCGCCATGTCTCCGATGACATAGACAACGAGTGTTATTTTTTCGCCTAGCTCGCACAATCAATACAAACAACAATTTACATTTCGTTCTCTCGATTCTGCGATGTTATCGAGGACGTCGCGTACTTTAAATATCAATGAAAAGACAAGCCAGTGACTGCAAGTAGGTCTGTAGTATTTGACCGTATCTAATACTACAAAGATATCGGGTCATCAAGTTTATCTCACGGGATTTGCTATAAATTTTACTGTACCAACGCTAAAACATATACGCTGAATTTTCTCAATGAAATTTAGATGTATCGTTCAACGTTTCGAATATTTTCAGACCGTTCAACGTGTAACCAAACGAGAGAATGAAATCAACCCTCGACCAATGAACAGAGACATCAGCAGCCATTATGAGTCATCGTGAAATTAACCTGTTCTCGTCGAACAAAATAAGTATCAAACATGTAATTTACAGTAGAATTGCAATTTTAAACATTTAATTGTACAACATTCAGTCACCGAGTTGACTCGTTACGAAATTATAAAAATCGGCATTTTTCAATAAAGGTTAACCTCAAATCTATTGTCATGGGTAATCACGAGATATCTGGACACCAGGAACGATTCATCGAAGTAAACGTGAGACGAAATAGATTGTTGAAAACGACTTGAAAAAATTCCAGGCAAGAATATTAAACGAGAGTATGAAATACTTCAGAGGATCAGTACTTGAACTTCACCCCATCAGCTTCGGATTCAGATAAGGTCTTTGCGTAACTGAGGTAGTCGAACGACTCTAAAAAAAGGAAGGGGATGAATTATGAAGGAGAGAAATACGTTTCGCGTGCCGGCTAAATATCGCCAATTATTAGACACGCTATCGTCAAATTATTTCTGATGCGAATCGGATAATTGCGACATATCCATAGGCAGATAAGATGGCGCGAGTTCGTCTCGGTTCGACAAGGATTTATCTGGACTAACATTACGCTCGTCTTACATCACGTTTACGATTCTTTCGTTACACATGCAAGCGCGCTCGCATCACGAATTTCGAATACGTGAATGTGATCTTATCAAGGCGGCAGAAGAACAAGAAGAGAGCAAAAAAAATCAGTCTCGTGGCGCAGTTCGTTTCTTGGCAAGATTTTTTTCAAGCTCGAGCCTTAGAAACTCTCGATTCAGCAGTTTCCATCCGCTTGAATTAGATAAAGTGCGTGAACTGAGGACGAGACTATAGATAGAGAATTCTGCTCTATTTTACTATTTAGAAGTTTAACGCGTTCGAGAAAGATCTGTAGATGATAATTATCTATATATCCTTTTTAGGAAGACGCCGTTGAATCGGAAGATCAGGAATCTCTACAGAAAAGCAATTTCCAAAGGCGTATATCGAAATTCTCGATCAGGTTAACGACTTTCTGACGAACGCAGTTTCGATTTCATTGCAAAGAGGTTCTCATTGTCAAACTATCTACGTTTATCACGTAGCAGTATCTATCTTCAAAGTCTACCGTCTCCTTAATATCAACGAAGATATAGTAATTAAGTGATACGTAATTAACGTTGCTTACCTAACGACAGGATACTCCGCGGTTCCCTTGTAGCCTAGTTTGGCAGACAGACGGAAGAGTTTCTGCAGATTCTTCACGTTTAGATCGAAGACTGATCGCTTCTTTCGACCGCTGATGGAAGAAGATAGACGAAAGATTAGAGATGTTGTCAAGAAGTGATTTGCATTTACGACGAATGGGCGATTTCTACTCACGATCGAGTTGCTTCTTGCAGTTGACGACCTCCCCTCATCACGTTCACCATTTTCCCCGTCATTTTCGACAGAGCCATCAGGGTCTCTAGTTCTGCTCGCCTTTGGTCCGATAACCGTTTATGCCGTCTGCGAGTGAGATACAAAATTTGTTAAAAGAACTGTGGTACTCGGATAGAGTCAATCTTTTTGCGAAATATCTTTATCATTGAAACGGAGATTTGTAATTAGTAATATTACAAGTGTGTTGGTTTGTTGCGGTGGTAATAGTCATTTTATCGAGGATAATGTTTTTATTCAGAATGATGCTTAAACAATTCTGATTGGACAGAGTAATTCAAGTTTTTAATTAGAAGATTAGATATCGTTCTTGTTCAATGGAAATTATAACTTTTTTTTCTTTCGGTGGTGGAATCGTTAAAATTGTAATGGCTACTCACTCTTTAATCGTCCCAGATATTTCTTCGTTCACTTGTCCTGCGACATCGTTCTGCCCCACTTTTGCGAAACTTAGCAAAGAGTCGTATATGCCAATTGTGTTGTCATTTGTTAATCTATGACAAAAAGTATGCTACTATTTTCACAATATTCGATAGAATTATCACTTTCTCCAAAGTTAACATAACTATTTTCTTTCGTAACACTTAAAGTGGATTCATCTGAAACACTCTCAGAAACAGCTAAACACTTACATTTTCAAACGTAATTTCAACTTAATTACAAATAAGCACCAATTGAGAGGTACCCTCAGAAACACAGTAAGGAAGAAATAATATTCACCTATCGTATCCAGGCTGTGCAGTCACTATTCCAGTCAGATGAAACAGCCAGAACACCATCGCTATTGCCATCCAGGATTTACCGGAAGCGTTTCTCTCCACGATACCGTTCATGTTTCACGTCGAAGCGATATAAAAGAATAAACAAGGAAAAACTGAAAGAACTTGGTACAACAGAACACGACGAACTTTTCAAGAGAGCTTTTCCACAAGTCTTGGAAATGAAATCAGTCACAGGTCGTCTGGTTCGTTTGCTTCTGAGTGAAACTGTAACGATACTCGTCTCTGGTGCGCGTATATATTCTTGTTTGAGGAACATCCCCCCTCTACTTGAAAAGCCATTGACGCTGCTTTTACTTACACCCCCTTTCGTGGTTATCGTCTCGTGACACGTTTCTTTCGCCGTTCACACGATAAATTATCTATCAATTTAACGATTTTCCGTAAAATTTCGTTCCATTGTTCCCACTTTCTCTAATATCACTCTCAAGTGGGATCACGTGAGTGAAACTGAAACAATGGGTTAATCAACTTGGACGTTTCTGTTATTCCCCTTCGTTTCTTTCTTTCTTTTCTCTTAATTGACAACTCGATAAAAAGTCATCGGAAAGTCTGTAACTTGAAGCGTCGATGATTTTGTAAGGATCGAACAATTGCGTACATACGAGAGAGTATCTGAAAGAGCAATAGGCTGTCGCGACAATTTTTCACCGGACTCTCGCTCCTTCGAATTCGCCAAACATTTTTTTGGAAATTTGCATACAAGAAGAAGCGTGGTTAATGTTGTTCCGATTAGATTGCGACTTATTTCGGTCCTCTTCAGGGTTTATTTATACGAGGATCGATAATTTAAGCGTGTCAAATGTTCACAGATAGAATGTGGTTATTTTTGTAATTTCGCCACTACGTGGAGGCACAAAAGTTGATATTCGATCGTCATGAATGACCGATGTGCGTGAACAAAGTTGACGGTCACGCGTTACAGGATTATTTTTCTCGTTTTTAAGTTATCGAACGCTACCGATGTTTTATCATGATCCAGAAACGATATTCTTGATTTGGAAAAAGTTGGACGATGATCGATGAAAATTTCAGTTAAATTGTTCGTATCTGATTTCGATGGATTATTCCTTTTTTTTTCACGTTTTATTTCGTAAAAACGATGCACGTAATTGCGGAAGTAGAAACTGGAATAGGCTTTCTATACTGCGTCGTTTCTTTCATCATTGGATCATTACTTTAGAATTGACAGGCTATCGGCTGACATGCGTCAGGAAGAAAACGCTTACTTGCCTCGATAATCGTCATTTTTTCTCGCTTTTGAATTTTTCGCAACGGGTTGCACGCGATGCACGTGAAGGTTTTATGGGAAGTATGAAATGTTTGATACACGCGAACGAACGGTTAGAGCGTAACTAGTTCGCCAGTTTCGTCATCCACGTTTCACTGGCTATCTTTGCACGCGTGCAGAACAATTTTTGCCTACTACACTCTGCTCCACGCGAAGGTAAACACGCGGAAAACTGTTGGGAAATTGGGGGAAATATTGCATTACTTCGAACAGATATCTGTGGTGTGTCGTCGAATAAGTAATAACGATACAATTTATCGAACGTATTTTAAAATACGTCGGAAGTAAAAATTGTATTTAAGGATTTACGAGTGAATGACGAGTAAAAGAAGAATGGATTCGTTGAAGAATATAGTTTTGATAATTTAAAAATAGCAATATAGAAACAATCGGGGAATATTGTAATATTTCTAGCAATGTAAATCCCTAATATGTAATATCGCATACGTGGCGTTGTATTTGAGAAAATGCTGAAATTTCAAGCGCTCACATTGGTCAAATCAAGATAAACTCCAGAGTGGGGATAAAAATCTTGGATAAAGTATATGATTTAATTACAACGTTGCATTTCGTCATTCGAATCTAATCGATTCGTGTAATCTGTTCGTTGTGGATTCCTCTGATTTCTGTAGCGGGTTTTCCACGATCTTCGGGATTATTATGGACGAGTTTCCGGTTAACGTCTTCTTGAAACTGTTTCACAACGAGTAGAATGAAAATTGGGGTCGAATAGTAGTCTTCTAAATTTTTCAAGTAAAATCCAAAATAAAATTCAGAACAGCGAAGAGGAGAATAATGAACATAATTCTACGCAAACTTTTCAACTCCTTGGAAGCTTTCAAACGGAAATTTCACGCAACTTACAGAATAACTTTGACAATCGTAACGTTCTTGATAGGAGCCAATAAACGCTAGGGGGAACGGAAGAGTAAACTTTTGACCTTGCGAAAAGATGACCGTGAGAATGATAGCGGGTGTAATTAAGGCGGATATCCGACGATAATGGCGGTTAAACGTGCACACTAAGATATATACAGGGGGGATTCTCTGAAGAACGACCTCGATCGGACACGCGTCACTGCGGTCGATCTTTCCTCCGAATGTAACATTTGTGAAATTGTAATCGAAATGTACTTGCTTCGGAATACAGATAACGCTTGGTGTACTTTTCGTGCAAGTTTTTCGCCGGTTTCTTTAGATTAAGCATTGCAAAACGAGCAAGCAAGAATTGATGAGTTGTTACATCAGTGTAAATGTTAGTTGTGGCTTCTTTTGTATTACAGATTGATTCCGATCTTTAGAGATTATTCAGGAAGAATTTTTAGGTACGTGTCATTTGCTTCTATAGGATCAGCCAGAATTAGTAGTTCAAAGAGGCTTCATCGAGTCCTTGAGAAATTATCTCAGCATTCAGTGAAAGATGAGCGTAAAAAAGTTATAAGTTTATCTGTAAGAAGTTGGTGGTGGCCTTGGTAACTTCGAAACAAATGTACTGTAATTATATGCGACACAAAAAGAATTTCGATAGGTTCACTAAAATGAGAACGATCTAAGGTGATCGTGTTAGGCAGTTCACCCGGTATATTAACTCTTTCTAAATAGGCTGAATAACTTTCCACTTTTTAGACATCTTTAGGATAATTACAGCACATGGGGCACACAAATGTGTTCACAGTGCATAGTGAACAATTTTTCAAAATTCATATACAGATTCATAGCGTTGAAAGGGTTAAATATTAACATTGTAACTTTCTCTACTTTCGACTAAAATTTTACGAAACTCACATATCTGTCCGTAGTGCTGAAAGGGTTAATTGTTGATCTCATAACTCAATCGCATACAGCAGCTTCACTTTTGACTAAAATTTTTCAAAATTCATAACGTTGAAAGGGTTAGCTATCAATCTTGCAACTCGGTAGCGCTTTACTTTCGACTATCCATCGGTCAAAGGGTTAAAAATGTCACAAAGATACACGTGAAGAGAAATACCACCGGGGACGCTGATCTGCCTCATGGTCGTCCACTCAAGAATGGGGGCGGCAACTGGAGGAAAAACAAATTCCCTCTTCGGAGGGCGTATGCAGAACAGATATCGACGTGGACATTTTCTTTTTTCTTTCTTTTTGCACACGAAATCGTTCCTTTTACGTAGCACGCGAGCCAAAGCTAATCGGAAATAAAGAATTGTGCAACTTTGGAGGCCCGTTCCTCCGGCGGAACACGTAACGTATCGATACCGCTCGTCTTCTACTGCGCAGTTGTAGACATCTGGCTTACGCTTGCGAAATTCTCTCCACCCACGCGGCGTATGTGTGCGTATTTATGAAATAATGTCATATCTGTCGAGGCACGTTCGCCAATCATGCTCGCCACGGATGAACTACCGTGCACGAATGCCAGCGACCATGTCGACGGGGACGTGGATCAAACGAGACACTGCAATCTCCTACCGTTTCGTTTCGATTCGCTTCCTTCCACCTCGGAACTTCCCGTGGCATTCTCGTGCTGCAGCTCGTGCGCTCGATGATTGTAGAAAATAGGAAAGTTTAGCTGCTGACGATAATCATCGTAGTGTGGTTCGCGAGTGTACGTTTCAAGACGCGTTTAGATTAGGGTACGTACTACAGTAGTGCACACATAAGCGTTCGCATTTTTGCACACTTAAGCGTCCGTCGCTATCCCCACCAATTCTTGGAAATGAGACATCGGAGTGGAGTTGGAGCGTGCCGAGTGAAACAAAGTAATTCGATATCGACTCCTGGACACATCTCCTCTCTTTTCTTTAGTTCAATTCGCAGAAGTCACCTCCCCACTTAAGCGTACACTTATGTGTGCACTACTGTACTTGCTGCGAAAAAAAGTATGTATAACTAAGGAAACAAAAAAATATTTTTGTACCCCTCTTTTCTATTTTGATACTTACCTTCCGATTAATTAATCAAAGTGTATTAAATTTAGAATTTTTAAATTTCCACTTAAAGAATACAAACCTGCGCGAACCTATTAATTAATTAAAACACAACTTGAGTAAATTTAACACAGGATAGGGTATTAACCAGAAATGTATTAAAGTATAGTTCTAAGCGACTGCTAAGTGCTCCTCTCCGCGTCGTATCCCGCGTTGCTCCGAAAAACCGTTGGAGCCCCCTCGTTGGACTTTCCGGGGAAAAAGGGCTTAGTTTATGGCACCCTCAGGTACCCGCGCGCTTTCTCTTCCTGGGTGACAAAGTCCAGGCCACCACTTCGCCGCCGAAATATCGCATTTCTTACAGCTGCTTATCTTCTTGCTCACGAGCAAATTTCTCCTCCCGAGGTTGCCCCACTATGCGACTTAGATGATCTCGCTCGAGTTGCGTCGCGGCGGGAGGACGCGAGAAGGAGTCCTACCACCGCAACTCCACCGACTGCCTTTTGTTTATATTACACATTCTGCGTGTTCGTACCAAAAAACTATCGCTGGCGTCCTCCCGCCGCGCCGCAACTCGAGCGTGATCAACTCAGTCGCATAGTGGCGGAACCTCGGGAGGGGAAATTTGCTCGCGAGCAAGAAGTTAACCGTTTGAATGCCACGGGTCTTTGTTGTTTCCCAATCCAAAAGTGCCATCGCGCTTCTTTCATTTGATGTCGAAAAATTACAAAAATTTTGTTTTGGACATTTTCCTGAATACGACTATTTGGAAATAACACGAAACAAAGGCAAAATTGATTATGTGCAGGATTTATGTGCAATTTTTTATAAAA